GATAATGCAGTAAATGCAAACTGTAAATGTCATAAATAGACTTCTTCTGTGGAATGTTGACATTTGCCTCTAGAGTTGTGAGGTCATTTGGAAAGGTTTCACCAACTGCTCAGGCTGTGGTCGTCATAACCATCATAGCCACGTCTTCTAAGATATCCTGGGGCGACTTTCAGGTAGAAAACGCGGAAGTCGCAGCGACAGAAGGTCCTCAGGATGTCTTGAAGCTGGTTTTATAACTAGTGTCGAACTCGATCTCCTGAGACTGAGGTACGTTGATGTTCTGAGATGCTTCAATTAGTGCTGAGAAATTGGTTAATTTGCGATTAACAAAAAGATTTTGTACCCGTTCAATGCCCCTTCAACACAGATTTGGACCAAGTAGCTTTCCTCTACAACCTCATGATAGTCCACGGCTTTGTCTTGGAACCTCTTCACATATTCGAGAATGTCTTCACCCTCCTACTGCTTTTCCTTACACAGGGTAAGTGTGGTCACTTTCTCGGCCACCTGAAAGAATTTGGCGTGAAATTTGTTGACCATCTCCTCCTAACTTCCAATGGAGTTTGGGGCCAAGTTAACGTACCAACTATATGCTCGGTCAATGAGGGACTTGGAGAATTCCCTCAGTCGGAGGACATGATTTAAACCATGAATCCACAAAGTCTCTATGAACCGAACAACATGTTCTCGAGCATTTCCTTACTTGCCATCGAATTTGATGAATTTTAGCACCGTGTACCCCTCCGAGTATGGATAACTCAACATCTCGATAGGGTATGGTGGCTTGACATCCGAATCGGGCAAAGAGAGTAAAGTCCTCTTACCCCGTTTGAGATCGAACATGGCTTGCACATCAGCAAGAGTATGAAATTGTTGAGGAAGAGAACTTGATGGTGGTATTCCTGGAACTTGGCTTGTAGACCTGAAGTCCGAGCCTAGAGTGACTTGGCTATTTGGGTGTTGAGAATTCACCATCAGTGTAAGAATGTGGTGATATTGACAATTGGCATCTATAGATATGACGTTAGGTGATAGGGCGTTGAATGAAGCTCCAAAAACTCCATTACACATCATGGATATGCCAGGTTGGGCTTGGAAATTGTTGTCGGAGCCAACGAAGACCCGCTCGATACATGAGTAGAATTTACAATCGGTAGAACAAAATTAGGCACTGATGGAGCACCATTTTGTAAAGAAATTTCTGTGGGCCTTCCTTGAACTTCCACAGCCGCTGGAACACCATTCATCGTGTCAGAAATTCCTCTAACCACCGATGGACCATGGCTCGATCCTCCAGGTACATGATTTTGCGCTCTGTGGGCCACAGGTTGGCCATGACTTGTTCCTCCTAGTACTTGATTTTGTGCACCATTTTGAGCAACTTCAAGGTAAATTGAGGTGAGTCTTGATGGTTTTGACCATTCCCAACATCACCATGAAGTTGTTGATGCTTGTTAGAGCTGACTTGACCTCCATTTGTGGCCGGTGGTACGAAATTTGAACCCATCACCAAAATGGTGTAGGTGAGATTTTGAAGGGTCGTGAGAATCTCTTGCTGAGTGTGTTATAGTTCTTGAATGGCTTCAAGAATGAGAGGTGAGTCTTGAACTTGAGTCCTCTCATCACCACCATTAGAGGATCCTTGTTGGTGAACTTCTTCTTCTCTTGCCATCTTCACCAGAGTTGCGTGAGTTCTGAATCTCGTTGAGACCATTAACCAATCTGCCTCCCCAACAGAGTCGCCAAATGTATGAGAGGGCTCAAGAACATCGTTGGAAAATTTGAAGATCTTCAAAGATCTTTGAAAAAAAATTCAATTTTTTTTAGAAATAATGAGAGACTTAGATTCTTCAACAGTCATAACTAAGAACACAAAAGTAAAGAAATGATAGAGATAAGAGATTGGTTGAATAAGAAGACAAGGTAATTAGAGGGAAAATAATGGCACGGCTCTCCCATGGATCTCCCACTTTCACTCTCAAGGTTGATAATGGAGAAGGGAAATTTATTCTTTCCCAAGAGTTATCTCTCCAAAATCCATCCCTTGTAAAGCTATGAGTGGGTGCTATGTATAAGCACCTCATGATGTGGGATGGAGCCCATGTTGCACATGGGAAATATTCTCTCTAACTACCTTGTCCAAGGAGGTGACCTCTCCGAGGATGAGGAAAACCCTTGAAGAGGAGATCAACCTCTCGGTGAACCCTTCTTCTTAGCCACACATAACCAATAATCCCCAATCATCCCAAAGGGCCAGGGGTAGTCCCAGTAGACGCCCTGCCGCAGAAGGGTCAAGGGTAGTTCAAGAGAACGGCATATTGCAAATATTGCCGAGTCTCAAGGACCCCCTAGATCGTACCACCTCGACCCGGGTATAGGCTAGTTTAATCGAAGGGTAAATTTATCTCCACTTACCGTCCTCGGGATTGGGTCCTTTGTTTGGATTCCATTACACCCATGATTCTGGTACGTAGATCCCAGAAAGCTCCGAGTCCGCAAATGTTCTAAAACTCATTAATGGAGCGGTTTCTAGATTGCGTCCGAATCCGTTCGAAGCCAAGCACTTTGGATCTCTATGTTCGTGGATCCGAACCCTTTTGAGTCCGAGCTCAAATAGGTCTCTAGGTTCGTGGTTCCGAATCCTTTCAAGACTAAGCAAATACCTCGGAGAATGGATCTTCTCCGAGGGTTTTATCTCTTCTGAAAGCAACATTTAACCTCCTCGGATGCCCGTATGATTTGGGCCTCCTCGAATGAGCTTGTTGGACTCTCTTTAGAGATATCTACTTGATGGGTCTTTCTCGGCCCAATTTGTTGGCTTTCTTGTGGGCCCGTTCAATGGATTTCACTTGGGCTTATTTGGCAATAATTTCTCCAAACCCATTAATTTTGGATTTTTTGATTGGTCCCCAATTGAATTCAATTAATTTAATGGGCTCAAGTTAACCCCTCTTACAAGCTTATATATCATTTTTCATGCATATAAGAGGCTCTTTCCTATATGCACTCACATTATTATACAATTTCATTGTATTGAGGATAAAATAAAGTGAAAATTATATTTCAATAAAGACAGTGAAATTTTTTTTGATAGTACAAATTTTTTGGCTGCGTCACACTTGTACAAAAATATATTTCACTTGTTTTAAATTAATGTTACTGTTCAGATTTATCAATCATAAAAATTGTGAAAAAATGAGTCTGTGGTGTAAATGAGAGTTGTTGTGCTATGGGCCACTCCTAAAATAAATTCCATCCACATAATTTAAATTCTTGATAAATTTCTAATATTATTATTTTAAAAACTATTACATTTATTCATAATTTTTTGTAAAAGAAAACCATTTTGGCGGAGGTTGGTATGTAACAACGTATGTAGTAATAGTAAACACAAAAGCTATTGCTGAGCTTTGAAACTGACATGCAAGTTGCTCATCTGACCTGCTATGTTTAATACAAGGGCTGCTCTTAAAAACAAAATCTATTGCTCAACTTTCGTCTTATTTCTAGTATTCGAAAGTTTCTTAGAAGGAAAAAAATATATTTATTTATTTATTGTATTATTTTAATTTTTATAATTTCAACAATGTTCAAATCTACTGTCGATTTCATACCAAAAGGACGTCTTTTATTTGATTTGATGTGGAAGATTGTAAAACACGAACTTGATTTCACATTATTTGGAAGCCTGCACTTTTTTTTGGTTTGACCACATGACGGAATGAGAGCTGACATCATATTTGGGCCTAGAGGAACAGCCCATTTTTAGGCTTTATCAATTTGGACCTAACTCTGGGCTTTACCGAATACAAAGTATACATCCTAAACCCTAATTTCTAAATTAAGATAGGTCCAGAATATCCTGTGTTGTGTCCTTATCCATGATGATTTATCTATTATTAATCTTGTGTTATTGAACTTTATAACCGTATAACTTTATTATTCGACGAGTACATAATCAACAAATGCTCATGAAAAACTTAATAATTACTCTATATATGAAGCTGGGTTATTTGAAGTAAAAAAAAAAATTTTTTTTGGGAAGGGGGGGTTGGTTTTTAAAAGGTACCAAATTTCCAAAGTTGCTTTCATGATGCCCTCGTTGAAGACTTAGAAATTCTAAAAACTCACAAATTCAAAATTGCAATTGACTAGGCACCAGTGATTTTTAGCACCGCTTCCTAATTTCTGAACATCAGGTGACACAATTGTCTAGCAGTGTGATTTTGATTTTTCACCATTTTATTTGAATGAACAAAACAAGAAAAAGGAAAGAGGCCAAATGTCTCCTATAATTTTATTTTTTTATTTTTGAACTCTGCATTTAGATGAACAATTTAAATGTTTTGAAAATTTTGTATTTAGTAACTTTAGTTAATTTCTCACAAATTTCATCATTTTTGATAAGAAATGAAGTATAGAATTGTTCAATGTCAGTGCATGGAGGGGACAAACCCCTTTGACGGGATAAAGTGAGTATAGAAAAGCAGATAGGTCCCTATGTCTCCCAACATTTTTTCTATATCATTGGTTGGGTGACTAGATACGAAATCCGATTCACATAGCTTGTGTGTGTGGAGAGAGAAAGGAAGTCATTCAGTATGTAAAATTTTGTGTCTCCAGCATTGTTACATGATCCCTCCATCTTGTCTCGTTGCTATATTTTAACCTTAACCAAATATAAGTGGTGTTTAGCATGAAAATTTTTAGCTTTTTTAAAGTTAAAATTTACAAAAACACAAAATAAATTATAATAATTAATAAATAAAATGTCATATCAAATTCATAATCATTTTATTTTTTTCTTACAAATATCATATCCAACTATAAAAAAATTCAATTATCTTCACAACTACAAAAATTTTAACTTATTAAAATAACTTAAAATTAAAATAACTTATTAAAATAATAGCTTCCCAAATATCCGCATAGTAAAACTAAACCCACTCTAGCCAAAGGCAAGAAGACAAAATGATGGGAGAAATGTCAAAAACACCGACTAATAAAAGTTTTTGTTTGCTATTTTTTTTTTATTTCCTTCTGACAACAAAACTGGAGCAACTAACTTCTACAAGTGCATGAATATTCCTATTTCTAAGGCCCTCAGCACGACTCGCCAATATATATATAACACATTAAAATGCCAAAAGTGTTTCACTTTTCTGGAAGTTCTTTCAGTATCTGGTGGAACCACTCAATGCTATCATCGTCATGGTCCAAAAAACATGGAAACGTAGATTCTCCCTCAGCCAAGTTCGATGAAAATTCATTTTGTTGGTACGAAAAATCTTCAAAAGCTAGTTCAATCCAGAAATTCCTAACGGATTCTTCAAACGATTCCGATGAACTCATGCTATCTTCCCCAACCCAGTTTTTATCACTCAAAAGTGCATAATCAGGAGTCATGCTGGAAGAGAAATCACTGGAAGACAGTTCTTGGGACGACAATGGAGAGCTTTCTAAAATTTGCTGATATATTTCATCAGTGACGTCTTTTGAGCCCAATTCATCAGTCACATGGTTGATTTCAGATCGTGGTGAGTCATGAGATTGCAGTTCAAGATTGGCTAGAGATTGAGAAATTTGAATGGCTTTCTGTTTCAATTCAAATGTCGAGTGATTTTCGTTAATGCGTTTCTTAAGATGGGTATGCCAATGATTTTTTATTTCATTGTCGGTTCTTCCTGGAAATTTTGCAGCTATGGCTGACCATCTGCATATCAGAGAAGCACATAAGATAATAATATACTTAAAATTTTTATCACTTTTAACTCATCACACATTGAAAATAATGCATGATTTTTATCTTTGTTGCTAGCTTGCTATTGATTGATCTGAAATATATAGGAGATAACTTTTATTTGCCCATAGTTATCATAATTGAAAATCTTGAAAACACTAGAGTCACCACTCACCAGACCCATCACATATATTGTTTTTAATCATAAAACTAGAAATGCACACATCCAATATTGCGTTCATCATTTAGAAGAAACGTTGAAGTTAATTTTTTTTTTTTTTTGATTCATAAGAAAGAATGAAGTTAATTTAAGTAGTTGATGTTGATCCATACTTATTTCCAAGTTTTTCATGTAATTCCATGATGAGATCGTCTTCCGCTTTGGTGTACTTTCCCCGTTTCACGTTTGGACGCAAGTAATTCATCCACCGCAGTCTACAACTCTTTCCGCATCTTGATAGACCTGAAAGACATGACCCAAGTTAGAATTCATTCATGCCCACTTAAGCTTACAATTAGAATTATTCAAGACAGTGTTTAAAGAAGTTCAACTTCTTTCTTTTAAGTGCATTTCAGGAAAAGGAATGCATTTTTTTATTTTTTTATAAGCAAAGAAAGAAAAATTTATTTACTTAGAGATGAGAATTACATGAAATTAAAAAGGGCTCCGGGAAAAAAAGCTTCAAGGTACCCCAAAAAAAAAAAAAAAAACAAAACAAAACATCACTCACTCATGAAATCATCAAAATCTGGAAAACTGATGTATTTGAACACAATTTCTTCACTGCAGTGATGAAGTCAAACACCGTATATTTTTCTTTAAATTACATCAAGAGAGAGAGAGTGTGTGTCTATACCAGCATACTTGGGAAGTTCACGCCAGTTCCAATGGCCATATCTATGAATATAAGCTCTCAACTTGTTATCTTCTTCAGGACTCCATGCACCTTTTTTCGTTCCATTTTTATCAAAGCTCGGAGTTCTCACCATTCTTTCTCAGTCTCTCTCTCTCTCTTGTCTCTCTCTGTGTGGAGTATGAGATGTTAAGAATAATTTCAAGACACCAAAGCTCACTCCTTATTTATAATTTCCAGACACCAACGCGTTTCCAGTAGAGTTAGTAACCATCATGCTTTAAAAAACCCACTAGTGTTTTTTTAATTTGTTTTTGTTGGGTCCCTCTTAGAAGAGACCATGAAAGTGTGTTTAATTATATATTGAAACATTGGAGCCAACAAAGAGGTTTCCTACAAACGTGTCACATTAAGGGGTGCTTGGGAAGAAAACTACGTACAAAAATTAAAAATTAAAAATCATCTTAAATACTCCCTCCGTCCTAAAATAATGGTCCCTTTTGAGGAATCCAACTTTTTTTGGTAGTACAATTATTGTACTTTTAAAAAGTTGGTTTTCCAAAATTACCCTTTGATAGTACACTTTTTTGAGAATATCAATGTCATAATTGTACTTTTTATATTATTTATGAATTTAAAAGAAGGGCAAAATGAGAAATTTATATTATTTTTGTACTTGATTTTTGAAGAGGGACTAATATTTTGGGACAATGAAAAATGGAATAAGTGACTAATATTATGGGACGAAGGGAGTATAATTTTTTAAACTAAATTAAAATAGTTAAATCCCGAACAAGTGTAATTATGATCCAACATTAGAGGATAGTTGTTCCATGGAGTGCCCCGATGGGCCTAGGATTATTCCAACAGCAATGCTAGGCATCATGAAAAGTCTTTCATGAAAATGGTCATGAAAGATTTGTGACCTTTGAATTACACTTACAATATAACACCACACACTAATCAAGGTAATCTAAAGGTCACAAATTTTTCATGATCCTTTTCATGACAAAATTTTCATGATCTCTAACATTTCTCTTATTCCAATAGAGAAAAGTTAGGCATCATGAAAATTCTTTCATGAAAATAATCATTAAAGAATTATAATTCTTGGATTACCTTGATTGGTGTGTGGTGTTTTAATCTAAATGTAATCTAATAGTCACAAAACTTTCATGATTATTTTCATGAAAGATTTTTCATGATACCTAGCATTGCTGATTACACTAACCCATGAATCTATTGTTGGATAAATGGTGTTCTCTAATTAATATATATTTATATGTGGTGTTTCAAATATATATATATATATATATATTAAATTGTGTTAATTGTTACATACAATTCAGGGTCGTACTCATTTTTCTACAATGAAATTTCACTTTAATTGTTAGATTATTTTATGATAATTAATTTTGTAATTGACTTCAGAAGGTTCAAACTCTTTCCATAAAGTAGTCGTTTCTTTATCAAACCACTAACTTTGACTAAATTAAAATCTTGTTTAGAATTTACTCACAGCCTGTGTGATTCATAAGATAAGAATTTTTTTAATTAATATATTATATTACAATAAAATCCAATAATATATATATATATATATATCACGTTGGTTGGTCATTTCAAACAATTTTTGGTCACACTGACTTCCATAAATTTCATATAACAAAATTTCACTGAAATTGTGAGATTATTTTATATTAATTAATATTATAATTAACTTCAGAAGATTCAAACTATTTTCATATGAGAATCATTTATTCGTCAAGCTGCTAATTTGGATTGAATATCCTAAGTCATTAGAGTTTGCTCATAGTCTATGAATCATAGGATAAGTGATTTTTTATTTAAATTATGTATCATATTATAGCAAAATTTAATAAATTGTAATCATGATGAGACCAAATATAATGTATAGCTAATAAAATAAAATAAAATAAACTATCAAATAGCAATTATGGCATACCGAGAAGGTAGTGTCATAGTAGTTGGGGCTGGGGTTGTGATTTTGGTAATTCATATTTCTCCACTTTCTCAAAACTCCTTAGATGTTAAGGGTTTGGTGGCTTTAGATAAGTTGTGTATTTCGTATATTCGAATCTCATAGATAAATGGTGTTCTCTAATTAGTAAATATTATATATATATATATATATATTGTGTTACTCGTCACAAATAATTTTTTATCATACTCACTTTCCTATAATAAAATTTCACTTTAATTGTGAGATTTTTTTATAGTATTTAATTTTTATAATTGACTTTAGAAGATTCAGATTTTTTTAATAAAAGAATCATTTCTCTGTGAAACCGCTTTCTTGGACTGAGATATTTAATTCATTAGAGTTTTTTTTTTTTGATCAGCAAAGAAAAATTTCATTTAACAGCATGAAATTAAAGGTACAAGAAGATGACATGCATCGAGAGAGATTCATAGTCTATAATTCATCGAGATATTTAATTCATTACAGTTTGCGCATAGTCTATAATTCATAAGATGAGTAATTTTTTTTAATTAATATATCATATCACAATAAAATTCAATAAATTAATTGAATAGGTATGGATAAATGATCCACATGAAGATAGAAAAGTAAACTTATAATCGTAACTAAATCTTCAAAATTTCAATATGTAGCTAAGAAATTGAAGCAAAATAACTATTAAACAATGACTTTGGTTTATTAGAGAAGTCAACATGTGGTTTTAATTAGGTTGAAACAAACTCCTTTTTCTTCGAGTTATGTAAAATAGAAATAAAGAATCAAGGAATTCAAAAGATTGTTAGAATCACCATTTTCTAAATGGATCATCTAGAAAGCGAGTACACAAAAGAAATCTTTTCAAAGTAAATTTCAAATAAATACTTAAAAGAAAGAAAACTCATACGTCTGATAGATTCAAGAGTTAATTACCTAAAAATCTTATTTACAAATGTTATGATAGTTCAAATTCTATCTACGATTTTTTGAACCAATAAGTCATATTTAGTAGAACTAAGAATATTATCATTTTAAAAAAAAAAAATTAAAACTATGAATATTATCAATTTTGCATAGTAATATTCTAAATAATTGTTTCGCTAACTGATGAAAAAAACAAAGTATGAGATTAAATATTTTTGCCCTTCTACTTATTGGTTTGATTCAACTATCCAATAAAACTAAGAAAATTATCAATTTTTTCGGTTTTAAGATTGAGAACATTATCAATTTTTTTATTTTTAAAGTTTTTTTTTTCAATTTTGCATATCAATGTTCCATCATCATGCTCCTTTATAAACACAAAATTTTTAGTTTTGTACAAAAAAATAACTCAGCTTTTTCAATTTTTTCTAATACATATATATGTGTGTGTGTATATATATATGTATATTTTGCACATAATTTTTTTTTAATTTTTTCATTTTGAAAGTTAATGTTTTAAAGTTTTGAAAATCAAAATAAATGTCGAATCATTATGTTCATTTATAAATAATTATAAATGATGAACAATTATTATTTTAAGGACAATTTCGACTATTTAAAATTTAATGAGAGTTGAAGGTTCAAAAAATCTTAATTAAAACTTAATAGAGTATACGTTCATAAATTAGAACTTGTGTGTAAATGTCTCTAGGTTCAATCCTTTGACTTCATATTGAGGTCCAAAGGTTCTCACTAATAAGCCAATTTGTTGGCTGCGCATTGATTCTAAATACTAGTTTTGTTAGATAATGTACTAATTTCGTGAGAGGATAATCATATTTAATTGTTAATTTTTTTTTATTACGTACTATAAAAATATATAGGTCCTGTGCTACAAGAAACCTTAATCGCTGATCAATGTTTACGAGACGGGGGGGAAAAAAAACAAAGAAAAGAAAAAAACTGTCCGTATATGAACAATAGAAAGATTCATATATCCATGTGTATCACATGCCGTTTCCCAACTCTTTCTTCTTTTCATTTTGTTGAAAAATGTTTGTCCTCCACGTTAGGTGGTGATATACGTAGAGTAATGCCGCTATTAGAATAAGAATAACGATTCATTCCCAAATTTGACTCTCCCAATTCCACCTTCAGTGATATGGACTTGGGGAAATTAAAGATGAGAGAGAGGAGTGCGTAACCGCTTCACATAAAGATGAGCCATGTCATTATGAGTGAAATTGGCGTGACAAAATTAGGAGATATAATATTACTCTTCTTCTTCTTATTATTATTATTATTATTATTGTGATATTACTTATAATTTAAAGTTATCATTTTTGTTATAAATGAATATGGTATGAAAATTATGCATCATGGTGATATTGATTTGGTTCAATAGTTGTGTTTTTTTTCTTATGATTCTAAGTTTTTTTTATCATATCATACCGTGTTGGTTTGGTGATTTCAATCATAGCTGGTTGGTTAGAGATGAAATTGTCTCCCGTTTAGACTCGAACTAGAGATACTGCCCGAGTTTTAATGCTAGCCACAGTAACATTTTGTGCAAATTAGTAGTGTTTAAATTAAAAATTAAAAAATAAAAAATAAGACTACAAACCCAATGTTAGATCCAAGTATAAAAATTCGACCCAATATTTAATGGGTAGACAAAATCTGTACCTTCCATTCTCAAAAAAATATCAAAGTGGCATAAATTCATTGGTCGGACTGTTCTCTCAAAGCCGTAAGTTACTACACAAGTGTAATATTGACGATGAGATAAATTGATAATTTTTTCAATTCACCAAATAAAAAAATTTGTTTATTTGTTAATACCAGGGTGCACCAAGGAGCATAACGATTCCAATGCAAGGAAACTAAAGCAGTCAAACAATAAGGGTTCGTTTGGTAACGTTTACATTTTGAGTTTATATTTATAAAAATTTTATAAACTGATTTTTGTTTATTTTTTGTTTATTTTTAGAAAAACATAAACTACAAACGCGTCTGGTAATTGACAAAATGTTTAAAAAAATTTTAAAATATAAAAAAGAGTGAGAAATGGCAAGTGGTGGCAAGTGGCGGCGGAAGATGGTGGTAGAAAGTGGTGACGATGGGTGGTGGGTAGCTGGTGGTAGTGGGTGGTGGCAGGTGGGTGGTGGTAGTGGGTGGGTAGGTGACGGTGGCGGGTGGTAGCGAGTAGGTGGTGGTGGTGGCGGGTGGCGGATGGCG